TTGGGAAAGGCTGTTTCAAGTTTTTCTCTTTATTCAAGTGAAGGAAATAATGGAGTATAAGTAGATTCTTTCCTCTACACTTACCTCTATTTTCATTTTAAAGAGAGAGAGGGCTGAATGACCCTCATTTCTTCAGTCTCTTTTTCGTAAATGTTATATCTTTGCAATGTCTAACCTATTTTCAACCACTACTTTTAGCACTGTCACCACAGCCGGTCCACCCACCAGATGGCACACAGACACTGTTTGCATGCCCAGGAACTGAGAGGAGCGGGAAGCAGAGCGTTTTATCTTATACCAACAGCTACTGAACGGCTGGAGCAGATCAAGGCAGCTGGTGCAACCACAAGGATCAGAACTTCTGAGTATTAGAATCCCCAAGGGCTCTTCATTGGAAATCCTCGTGAAGAAGCCCACAACCCCTCTGAAATGGCACCCTGCCCCAGACAGTGCTAACAAACAAATCACTTTAAATTTACTGTCAAGAGAGGTATTTTTCTAATATTTATAAAAGATGCCAAAGACTAGATCTAGAATTTAAAAGTTCTGTTCTTAAAATAAATTAAAAACTTTAAGACACAAACTCAGAAAGACCAAAGACCCGTGAATTAAGAGTTTTAAAGCAGTTCTTTCTATTCCTTAGCAAATTAAAGAAGGGAATCATTGTATTCCATAATACTATATATACTAAGTAGCTTATTCAAAACTGCAGGTTATCAATATTCTTATTTCAACATGCTTCACTTGAAAGCTGTTACTGAAACTACTTTTTTTGTTTTGCTAATTCTTGCCCGAGGATATTTTTTAGAAAGAGTGGAAGGGAGAGAAGGAGGGAAGGATATAGGGGAGGGAGGGAGAGGGAAGAGGAGGGGGAAGGAGAGAGGGAGGGGGAGAGAGGAAAAGAGAGGGGGGGGGGGGAGAGGGGGAGAGAGACAGAGACAGAGAGAGACTGGCCAACCAGGGTAAGGGGATTGAGCCTGCAACCCAGGTACTTGCCCTTGGTTAGGAATCAAACTCGTGATCCTTCAGTGTGTGAGCCACACCGGCTAAGTGAAGCAAGAAATCTTAGTTAGACATCAATGTCAACAAAATCTTTTGTATTAAAATTTTATCCATTAAAAGATTTTGCAAACCTCTACTGGGTCTACTTAGCACACAGTAAATGCTCAGTTAACAGTCTCCTCATATTTTTGTCATAGAGAAATTGCCAAGAGTTATCAAACTTTGCAACACACGTGAGCAAAATGCCTAAAACAAAGCCCCCCTGTTGGTGATCTCTAGCTTTAGAGTCAAGATCCCAAAAAGTTCATTTCATAATTGGTTGTTTGAAATTTGGTAGAAAGAAATCACTCTATTACATGATAGGTTCTTGGACCCCTTCATACAATATAGAGTTAATATACTTATATATATACTTAAAGCATAGTACACATTCTATTTTACCTGCTCCTAAATAATAATATAAAAGTTTTCTTTTCAAAAAAAATACAGGCATCAGACAAATCTTCCCCAGAGATTGTTTCTAATTGCACACACATATGTAAAGCAGAGAGAATACCTAAATCAGTCACTCTCTTGGTATTCTAACTTGGAGAACAATGAGTAGGTAAGGCTCAGATTCCCCAGCCCTCAGTTTTGTGCTAAAGAGTTCACATATAAGGCAAGAACCACAAGGTACACCTTATTCCAGAACCTTTCAGTATATTCCTCTTAATTTGAAGGGTCAATAGTCTCAGCTATTATTGTGGCTGATACTGTTTTCCTTGTTAAGTAACTTATGCCTACATTTATAATCATAAGTGACACCCATTTTTTAAAAGTGACACCCATTTTTGATAACTACAATCTATGATGCTGCCACAGTTATCTGTCCCATGGAGGGGGCACCAACTTTTTTTTAGGGCTGTCTATTCCATCAAAGTTACATATATATATTTCATACGTTAGTCAAATCTATAGTTCGTAAATCTACTTTAAACTCCAAGTAAGTTATTTTACTTATCTTAAAGAGGAAAGAATCCTCAACTGCTACATAATGCTATTCCTTTAAAAACCAAAATGTGCTTAGATCAATTTTAGAATTTCAATATTTTTTTAAACATTGCATAGAATTTTTATTTATTTATTTTTAAGATATCTTTATTGATTTCAGAGAGTAAGGGAGAGGGAGAGAGAGATAGAAACATCAATGATGAGAGAGAATCATTGATCAGCTGCCTCCTGCACACCCCCCAGTGGGGATCGAGCCCACAGCCCTGGCATGTACCCTTGACTGGAATCGACCCGGGGACCCTTTAGTCCACAGGCCAATGCTCTATCCACTGAGCCAAACCGCTCGGGCTAGAATCTCAATCTTAATTAAAACAATGATCTGAAAAGCTTCAAAATCTCTAAATTCTGTCATTATTATTTAAAGCAAAGAAAATCTTCAGGGTAGACCACAGGTCCTAGTTAAGAGCAAGAGAAAATTTTAATAATCTCCTTGAATATTAGTATGTTTTCCAGTCTTCTCCTTAGACCCATTAAACATATAGAAAACCACTTACTATTTGCTCCATACATAAATGGTTCAAATAATTTTTTGGCTATTACTAGTACATATTTTTACTAATTTCACAGTGTAGTGTATGTCCAATTTTTAATCAGTGCCTAATACGTGAAAGATCTGGCACGCTGGTTTTACAAGAGATAACTTTTAAGAAACTGCATAGAGTTGAAATGCGTATTAAATGCACACTTTCTAAGAGCACAGAACTTCTCTTCATGTTACTAGTAAAAGGAAAGGTTTTTATGTGACTTATTATTTATCCCACAAATTCAAGTAGATTTCTTTACAGCTCTCCTGGCATGCATACAGCTTTCAAGTTCTCCTTTCCCACTCTTTGAGCAGATTAACAGTTCCCTCTTCCCCTCTTTCCATTAGCAACCAAATCTAAGCTTATGGTCTTTCTTTTTAGAGGCAAACTGGAACACATCATTTCAAATAAACTTAAAATATTTCTCCCACAAAGAAGATTCAAAGACCTTCTGGAATAAGTCTCATGCTTCTTATTGATAAAATGATCTACCACTATACTCGAATGATGTTTCATACTGCAATTTCATTTTGAGCCTTAGTACCTATTGTGCAATTCCAAACTGTTGCAACTGCAGTATTCCTTACATATTTTATATTGATTTTCCCTAACATGAGTTAATGACCTTTTCATGCACTAAAATTAACTTTCTCACATTTCCATTACACATAAATGTTTAAGATTTTAAGAAGCCTCTTCAAAAGGTGTTACTCAGAATGTTACCCTATACTGATTCTCAAATCCTGAATATAAAAGAATAAATTTAAATAACTAAGTTTTATTTATTCGCTGATTAAGTCAGATTTATGACCTCCCCTCCCCATTTCAGCTACTGTGAATTTTGAATGAAACAGCCTCAATTGTAACAGAAGAAACATCTGTTGCTTTTTTTCTTCACAGAGCTTTCCTAACTGAAAGAAAGGCTCTCTGCCTGACCTCTCCCTCTCTCACTCCCCCTCCCCACCCACACTAAGTTGCTTAAAACTTTTTTCCAAATAAATGTATTATTTAACATTTTACTGCATCTACTTAAAATGTCATAGTTTACTTAGAAACATTGATTTCCTTATTAAAGTTCAAAGAATGAGTAAATGTTATATATATCCAAAAACAAGAGATGTGACTGGTAGGATATTGTAACGCAAACGCAGACTTCAAGAGTATTCTTGAAGTGACCAACTCAATCAAGTTGTCACACATTCCAGGCTCACTCAGTATTGTTTAGGGTTAAGATTTTCTTCACAGTATCCAGATTCACATAGGATCTTGCATGTTATATATTCTTTGCCAATCCAACACTAACATAATGGCAGTCACTACCCCAAGAGGCAGACAGCAAATGGTGCCACCCACACTCTCACACTGTGCCTCATAATAAACCATAAAGCTGTGGAATGCACCGGCCCCTTTATGTGCAAACAATGCCCGAGCTTCATTAGAATACAGCTGACATTTTCAAAGCACAAATACTTTTTAAGAAAAATGTACTGGGGGGAAAAAAAGAAATGAAACAGCCATAGAAGCTGAAATGTTTTTTTAAGTGTCAGGTTTATTCCAAGGATCCTGAGGAAGCATATTTTACTGTTGACAATTTAAAAGTTTTCATAAATTAAAAAAGTGCATTTTTGCGGGCAAAGCTTCTTTTATTAACTACTGGAAAGAAATGAAAGTAAAAACTATCATTTGAATTGCATTCACAAGCAATTAACCATGAAGTACCTTTAAAATTATGCATTTCCTCAACTGCTTCCTTAGTTCCTGGATGAAGAAAACTGAGCTCCGGAATTATTTTCTCATTTTAATTGATTTATATAAGTAACTGAGTGATAAACTAAGCTTACTCTACCCTTCCCCCCAATCCCAACCCCCATACTCTAGTTTTCCTGTCTGCAACAAGCAAGGACATCTTGAATTCAGCGTGCTCTTGGCTACTTATCAATGTAATTTTGCTGCAGTTGAAACTATATAAAACAAGCGCTGTAAAAACTCACCCAGCAGTAAGAAACAAAATGATCTCTCTTACCTGGTCTAAAGAAGCATGCCTCTCACTGCAGTACCCACAACACTCTACAGTCTTTGTTACCATTCACTGGAAACTTGAGACTGTGTCAGACATAAGCAATCGAGCTCAGGAAGCTCAATTTAAAATACTGAGTAAAACTAAAAAGATGCTCAAGAAAACTGGTGAGTTAACTGTCTTTCAGGAGACCTATGAATATTATCTAATACAAAACGACACTTCAAAAGAAACTGAAAGTGCAGCTCTGAGAGACAAAAGGGACATTTTAATATAAAATCTTGCTTTTTTAAAGTAAAGGTTGATTAAATTATACCTAAAATAAAAGTAGTCAAATAAAATGCCTAACTCCATTTTTCTAAAAAGCACTTGAATTTTAACTAGCTAAAAAATAAGATTAAACTTACTCATGAAACCTGCATAATTCGAATTGTACATGTCAGGATACTGGCTGGCTCCAAAGCAGTCAATACACAGGAGACCTTAACGCATCTTGAAAGCAGAGCAAAAACACCATGAGTTTCAGAAAGAAAAAAAAAAGGGCAAACTCTTGAAAAATTGGTCTGGGCTTTTCAACCTGTAATAACTGTCCAGCTCTTCAGGGAGGAAAAAAAAGTCCTGGTCCTGCCCCCCGAGATAGGAGGCTATGCTTCAATGCCAAAATGAATGACAGGCCCATTTCTGATATCAACAAAGAGCAGCTTAGTTGGGCTTGTTTTGTTTTTTTTTTTTTCACTTTCCCACACAGTTAGAAGTTCTACATTTTCAGGTGAGTACCTTTATATCTAGGGTTAAGTACCTTTCTCCATTTTCTCAAGAGAGGACCCAATTATGTTGTCCTAGTTGTTTAATGAGTAAAGATACAGACCTAACTATTTTACTCAGTTTTTCCTGGGCAGGAAACCGAACAAAAGATGACCTCTGAAGGTGCTTTCAAAATCTATCCTTTGCCATGTCAGGTTACCATAGGACTAGTTATTAATATTAATAAATTTTTCCTGCTTCTGGATTTCTGGGCACAAGGAGGAACAAAATGTAGGTAAGAAACATAAAAATAAGGTAACTGAGATTATAAAAATTTCAACTACCTAAATGTAAAAATTAGCCATAACCGGTTTGGTTCAGTGGATAGCGTCAGCCTGCAGACTCAAGGGTCCCGGGTTCAATTCCGGTCAAGGGCATGTACCTTGGTTGCAGGCACGTCCTCAGTAGGGGGTGTGCAGGAGGCAGCTGATCAATGTTTCTAACTCTCTATCCCTCTCCCTTCCTCTCTGTAAAAAAATCAATAAAATATACTTTAAAAAAATGTAAAAATTATTCACTAAAGTACATGTCTATGATTATACAAATTCAAAACAATAAACTCTTCAATCAACAATATATGTTTACTGAATGCCTATTATGAGCCAACCACTATTCTGGGCTCTGGGGATAGAGCAGTGAACACAACAGACAAAGCCAAACAAAGACCCTGCCTTCAGGGAGTTTATCAGTTTCTATGCGAGCTCCCTGTGCACCTCTCCGAGATGAGTGAGGCACCTCTGCTTATTCACTTAGTTACCACTTCATCTGAATGATGCCCTCTGACCGTGCGCCTCGCCAACAGAGGGAGGATTGTGCTTAGTTCAGGGTTCTATTCCCAGGGTCTAAAACAGTGCCTGTTAGACACTCAAACATATATTCAATGAAACAGATCAAAGAGAGGCTTTTCTTAGTCAAACTTTTCTTTGTAACCAGACTACGTACAAGTTACTCTTACATACCGATAAAGAATGATACCACGTAAGGGTGCAAATTAAATTGGGTTACAAATATATATATGTATATATATGTGTATATATATATATAGATATATATATATGTATATAGATATATAGATATAGATATAGATATTTTCACTTAAAATTGAAAATACAACCTATATATAGCTTTGTATTTTTTCAGATTCTAAAATCTGTTTTCACTATCAGATATAAAATCACTATAATATGTGAGTAAAGGAATCGGTTAAAATTCTATACACTAAGTTTTTATGGGCTATCAGATTTCAGAGGACATTTGAATAAAAAAAGATGCATGCCTAACCATTTTTTATACAGCACCGAATCAGTTTCATGTATTAAAATCTTACATGTTGCTCTGACTGGTTTGGCTCAGTGGATAGAGCGTTGGCCTGCGGACCGAAGGGTCCCGGGTTCGATTCCAGTCAAGGGCATGTACCTTGGTTGCGGGCATATCCCCAGTGGGGGTGTGCAGGAGGCAGCTGATCGATGTTCCTCTCTCATCGATGTTTCTAACTCTCTATCCCTCTTTCTTCCTCGCTGTAAAAAAATCAATAAAATATATTTTTTTAAAAATCTTACATGTTTACATCTATTTACATACTCATATGAAAAATGTTTAACTTTCCACCTTGCTTCTGGTCATCTTGATTGCCTTCTAGAAACCACACAGAAAATGAGCACTTGCCTCTATCTTATCAGATCAGCCAGAAGTGCTCACCATGCTACCCAAGGCCAGGATATCCAGGGGCTAGATACCTACTCTGTTCCATTCTTTTTTTTTTTTCCCCAATCAGGCACTTGTTTTATTTTTTCCTTATTTTTGTTTAAATTTATCTTTATTGTTGAAAATATTACAGATGTCCCCTTTCTTTTTTTCCCTCTTGACTCCTCTTCTCCCCACTCCCATCCCCTCCCAGGCCTTCACCCCACTATTGTCTGTGTCCATGGGTTATGCATATAAGTTCTTTGGTTGATCTCTTCCCTCACACATTTAGTATATGTTCTAACAATAAATCCAATAGCAACTCAAGGTCAAGAATACATGTGATGGCTGAGATCAAGTATAGACAAAATAAGGTGGGACCAAAGTAGGATTCCATAGTTCCTGCAAGAGCAATTCTTCTTTTCCCTAGCTATCATTCATTCTTTCCTTCAACAAACACTTACTGAGCACCAGGCACTGAGCTAGACAAACTGACCTGCTCCATGGATCTGACCTTAAGCCTATCTCTAGTCTTTCATAGATTTCCTTCTCCCTGTTTGCCTTCCTTGCCAGTACCCTTTCCCTAGTCCCAATTCTGCCCTTCACTCTATTCCCAAGCCTTTCTCGCCCGGCAGCATAATCACTACTACCTCCTGTGTTCTTTTAGACTTGTTCCCTACAAGTGAATGACACACTGTGCAGAAACAAAATGCACCTTATGTAGATCCTCTCAAATAACATTTCTTTAATCTTATACAGAAAATCCACTTAAGCAAAATATTATTTACAAAGACTGATTAGCTGAAAAACACCAAAGGAGGCTAGACAGTCTTTCCCCCAGATTTATATGCTAATTTATTTGGACTAGAGTTTGCTATGTTTCTTGGCAACCTGAACAAATATTAACTACATTTTACAAATACATTTATGTTCTATAGACAGAAATGACATTATGATAGCACAATAATAGTTTTTATTTGCCCCATTTCTGCTAAAATATCTACCACATCCATATTATGGAAGGAATGGAAATTAGTCATGTGATTTCCTATACATATTCATATTTTCAAGTAAAATGTCTAATCTTGTTTGTTTCCCTAAACACACACCACTTCCCTGATTAAAAAAAAACAAAAGAAAAGAAATAAGAGATACAACTTCTAATGTCCTCACAATGTCTAGAGCTACAGTATCAAAAATATTGGTAGCCTTAGCCACAGGTGGGTATTTAAATTTAAACTGATTAAAGTTAAATTAGAATTTTAATTTCCCAATTGCACTAGACACATGTTAAGACCTCAATAGCCACACATGGCTAACAGTTACTGTATTAGACACTGCAGATACAAAACATTTCCATCATTGCAGAAAGTTCCATTAAACAGCTCTGGTCTAGAACCGTGGTCGGCAAACTGCGGCTCTTTGGCCCCTTGAGTGTGGCTCTTCCTAAGCCTTAGGAGTACCCTAATTAAGTTAATAACAATGTACCTACCTATATAGTTTAAGTTTAAAAAATTTGGCTCTCAAAAGAAATTTCAATCGTTGTACTGTTGATATTTGGCTTTGTTGACTAATGAGTTTGCCGACCACTGGAGACAATAACTGCTTTAGAGAAGGAATATGGTACATTAGAGAAAGAAAGAACATTGGAGTCAGAATGCTTCATCCAAATTCAGGTATTAATTTAGTTACAAGGGATAGAAATTCAACTCAACTACTTTGACTTGAAAGGAAATTAGTTGGCTCACAGAATGCAGGAAAGGGCTAGGAAACCATAAAAAAGAACAAGTCACTGGCCCGCTGGTGTGGCTCAGTGGATTGAGCATCGTCCCATGCACCAAGAGGTAACTGGTTCGATTCCTGGGCAGGTAACATGCCAGGGTTTCAGGCTTGATCCTCAGTAGGGGGCCTGCAGGAAGCAGCTAATCGATGTTTCTATCTTTCCTTCTCCCTTCCTTTCTCTCTAAAATCAATAAAACACATGTCAAAAAAAAAAAAAAGAACCAGTCAGAAATAAAAAATACACTAACTGAAATGAAGAATGCATTACAAGGAATCAACAGTAGAATAGATGAAGCCTAAAATCAAATCAGCGATTTGGAATATAAGGAAGCAAAAAAATACCCAATCAGAACAGCAAAAAGAAAAAAAGAATTTTTAAAAAATGAGGATAAGGTAAGGAGCTCTGGGACAAATTCAAGTGTACCAGCATTCACATCATGGGGTGCCAGAAGGAGAAGAGAGAGAATAAGAACTTGAAAACCTATTTGAAAGAATAATGACAGAAAATTTCCCTAACCTGGTAAAGGTAATAGATATACAAGTCCAGGAAGCTCAGAGTCCCAAACAAGATGAACCCAAAGAGGCCCACACCAAGACACATCATAATTACAAATCCAAAAGGTTAAAGAAAAAGAGAGAATCTTAGAAACAGCAAGAAAAAAGCAGTTAGTCTCCTACAAGGGAGCTCCCATAAGACGGTCAGCTGATTTCTCAACACAAACTTTGCAGGCCAGAAGGGATTGGCAAGAAATATTCAAAGTGATAAAAAGCACGGTTATTCTATGCAACAAAGTTATCACTTAGAATCAAAGAACATATAAAGAGCTTTCCAGACAAGAAGAAAAAAAAACAATAAAAATATGAATAAAATTGCAATACATATCTATCAATAATTGAATCTAAATAATAAAATAAATGAACAAGCAGAACCAAAAGACTCCTAGAGAACATTCTGACAGTTACCAGATGAGAGGGTGGTTGGGGGGATGGGTGAAAAGTTAAAGGGATTAAGAAGTACAAATTGGTAGCTGCAGAATAGTCATGGGGATGTAAAGTACAGCGGAGGGGATATAGTCAATATTCTAATAGCATATGTATGGGGTCAGAGGGCTATGAGATTTATCAGGATGATCACTTAGTAAGTTATATAATGTCTAGTCACTGGGGCGTACATCTGAAACTAATATAATATTGTGTCAACTGTAACAAAAATTTAAAAACAGGAAAGGGTTAGATAACTAAAGTAGGAGGGTCAGGGATGCAGCTAGGTCTCAGGAACTCTAAGGATGACAGGACTGTGTCTGTCTGTTGCCTCTGAGTTTC